CGCTAGTGTGTTTGCAATAAAATGAGGTTGTAGAAAATAAAACAGCGAAATGACTCACTGTTGCGACGTGCCGCTCAGTCGACTACGGCTGGCAGACCGAAGGTCCATTACTCTAAGGTGCGCAGGTGAGTCATGTGGTTGCACAGCGACCTGCTCACACTCATGCCAGGTGCACAAACGAAGCCTGAACAGCAATCTCCAGTTGTGCTGCAGGATCCCCCCAAATTGCTACATGCACTAACAGACATAGATGCTGTCAAAGCAGCGACAATGGCGAGGAAGGAGAAATGCATTTCTGTGCAAAGGTGATATGAAATCTTCTGAGGGGGATCTCAAATGATATCTCTGAGGATGGAGGAACACTGTAGGACGATGACCAGGTTTTATATGCTGCATACACTCAGTATGGGCACGATTCTGAACAATTTGGCAGAATTGTTATTGCTATCAGATGGCAGAAATTTAGGCAGAACCTACAGGAGCACGTTGAATTGATTACGACCAACTGTATACTGCATGGTCGGGTATGAAAAACCGGCGAGATACATGTTGTTTATTTATGTCGATGAATAAAAAAAAAGATACTGTCAATGTCGTGTACAAGGACCCGGAACAAGGAGTGAGTGAGAGAAAAATGATATGAAATATCGACCGAGTAATGCATGTCGGAAGTATTGACGAGAATGAGCATCAACTTCTCGACTTTGTCGCTGCGCCGCGGCTGGCAGGGTCACTGCGGGTTCAAATTATGAAGCGATGAATGAGAGATCGGGATGAGAAACCGGGATTCGAGTTCTGTGGTTAAGAAAAGAGATGTTACATAAGACTCTGCACTTGTGAGAACGCGAAGAACAGGAAGTTATGTAAATGAGTGCCTACTAAGTACTATAGTAGATGTCCTAGAGTTCAACCAAGTACGATCCATCTTCCGTCATGTGTATTAACAATTTTAAGGTGATCATCTTCGTCAAATCTGGTGCAGGAGCCGTCGAACTGGACAAGCTCTTAGTTTCATGTAATTTCCCCAATCATTCCTTGTCGGAGATTCTTTGCCGGCATTGTAATGGTCACGTGTTACGATGCCCCGCAAAGTCATTGTGATCTGAATTACGATGCTTTAGGCGGAGTCTCAATATCATCCTGATTCAGATTATGACTCGTACGATGACTTATGCCTAAGGCCTAAGGCCTAATAGCCTGGACGTGCATCAACCCACCCAACAATTCTGGCTCTGTACATCGCTTCGTTTCCGATTCTTTGTGCTGTTTTCATCTATACTCTTTATTTTAAACGACATCCTTGATTCAATTGTCTTGTTTCATTCGGCTTGAATCTGAATCGCCTGTACACCAAATCGCATACCCACAACTTCCGTTCGTCTGAATCAATTCTCTCCTGCTATCTATCTGTGAGTCTATAGTCAGTCTGAACGAGACTCTTTCCCATCCAAAACTTATCGCATTTGCGCTCAACAGTTTTGCCAAGTATCTTATATTACACTCGAACGAAACATATCCTTGATCATCGTCTGTTTTGTCTTTAACAGTTGATTTTTGGTATGTACTCCATTACTAACAGCCTTTCACTTTAATAATCTACTGAACCATCAGCTTGTTCGTCGCTTGTTTGCTACTTGATATCAATGCCTAAGTCAAAGCAACGGGCATCAGAACTCGCGACATGTGATCGATGTGGGGCGAATGTTCGTGCGCGCGGGTTAGGATCGCATTCAAAGTCTTGTGCAAAGAAAGAAAAGGAACGGCTGGAGGACGAGGAGTTTGCTGATATAGTTCGGAAGGCCAAGAAGAAAGGTGAGTGCTCAAATCAGTCGTCTTTCAATCATGCACTCAATAGATAGTTGATATCTGCCATACAGAACTTCGAAGGCAGCGACGCGAGATTCGCAATAATCTACAACGTTTGGAGGATGCGCAATCATCTATTGCAGGTGGGCCCTTATGTTTCAATGATAGTACTATGTTTCTAATTGTTCTCATCGCAATACAGTGAGCGCTACTGCGATCTGGGCAGATCCAGATCCAGATGTTGGTATGTTCAATTTAATTAGATTGATTATGTACTGAGACTGTCAATATCAGAGATGCAAGGGTCATCGCCTCGACAATACCCACCAGTGGACCATGACGCAGCCTTACCTGACTTTCACGAGGCCGATTTTGCTCCCAACGAGCCCGATCCTGGTTCCAATGAGCCTGATCCTGGTCCCAACAAGCCCAATCCTGAGCTCGATGATATTAAAGTCGAGTATCATCCTCACAGCCAAATTTCTTCCACTGTACACCACTTCTCTGAGTTCACCCGCAGCCGCATGACAGAACATACTGTGCCTCGTAACAATACACCTTGGGAACCCTTCCGCACGCGGCTAGACTTCGAAATAGCAGAGATTGCACTTGAAGCTGCGATGACGAAGGATCAAACCAATCGCCTTCTGGATCTCGTGCACCGATCTGCTAGCGGCAATGATAAGTTCACGCTGCAAAATCACGATGAGGTTCGCTCCCTATGGAACCTTGCTTCGCAACGTTATACCAGAGTGAGTATTGTCTCATGTACTAATACTAACATGATAATAAACTGATTATCAGTGCGCAGTTTCAGAATGATACAGTGTCTGTTCCATTTGACAGTGAGGTGCACGAATTCGAGATGCATTACCGCCCTCTCTGGGATTGGGGACTCGATTTATTGCGAGACAAATATCTCGCGCCTCATTTCGTATTCGATGCTCAACGTCTCTCGAAATTCGACGGAGAGAGGTTTGTACGTTTCATTGACGAACCATGGACTGCTGATGCATTTTGGAATGCACAAGTATGTTTCAAATCTTGTTTTATTGTTGTTTTAAATTAATAGTACAATGTCAAACCGTTGTAACTGTACTAGTCCCAGCTTCCCTCAGATGCGAAACCACTGGCATACATTCTTTATGCCGACAAGAGTAAACTATCGTCATTCGGGACCCAAAAGGGCTACCCAATTATTGCGCGTATTGCCAACCTACCTGTTCACATTCGCAACAACAATACTGCCTTGGGAGGTGGTCGCGTCGTCGGTTGGCTGCCCATTGTCAGTTGCATTGACAAGCTTGTTGGGTTAGTATTAGTATTGCTAACTGCCGTATTGATTTAGATTGTCGAGAATCAGGAACATGCGAAAAAGAAGAACTACGTCGACTTCAAAAATGCTGTCTGGCACACGTCATTTTACCAGCTTCTTGCCTCAGTTGCGCAGCACTCGAATACGGGTTATTGGTTTGAGTGTGGAGATGGAATCCAACGTCGTCTCTGGCCTGTTATTTTGATCTTAAGCGCTGATTATGAAGAACAGTAAGTACCACATGCATTTACTATTGTGAGGCTTATGTATAAATTGTAGATGTATCATGGCGTTGATCCGTGGACTTAAGGGAAAATTCCCGTGTCCAGTTTGCTTGGTTCCGCAAGACGAGCAGTCCGTTCTTGCTACCCACGAGTTTCGCACACGCCACCAATCTGAAGATGTACTTCGCACTGCAAGATTGAAGCCTTCTGAGAAGGAAAAAGAGGCTCATCTCAAGGCTTTCTCGCTCCGAAATGTTGAGGTATGCAGTTCCTGCTGTGATATCTATCAAATACTGATGTAATTCAATTGTTAGAATGTCTTTTCGAGAGTTCGTCACGTCGACGTTCATCGTGCACTTTCTTTCGACCGCCTTCACACAAATGAGGAAGGGTTATGGGGCGATCATTTGTGGAAGGAAGTTAAGTTTTGGATTTCAGACCTCGGGCGCGATGCAGCTGTCAAACTCGACAAAAAGTATGTATTGTGATTACCATGATACATTGTTGCTACTTCTGACTCAGCGTCCTACTAGTTTTGATGGACTTCCGCGATGGCCTGATTTAACACATTTTTCGTCTGTCGTCGCAGTGGATTTCACTGATGGTACTGTTCTCGGGGATCTGTCAAAGGTTCATGTGCACATTATAAGCGGTTTTCGGCACTAACACAAACTTACTATTTAGATGATTGTCTTTGCCGCACAGGATATATTTACTTCGTCCCGCTGTAAACTGGGACACTTACTCCTTCGCTGCATTCGCCACTACATCGAGTTTGATATCTATGCCTCGTTAGAAGTGCATACAGAGCATACAATCGCAGCTGGGAGGTTGGCAGTGCAAAAGTTCTCAGAGATAATGGCCGTAAGTCACTGTATTGTTCTGGTTTTCGATGATGATCAGCTGACACATCACTAGGAATATATTGCCCAATCACAGCCTGAAACCCTCAAAAATTGGAACTTTCCAAAGAAACATTTGGTCTCTCACATATTCGACGATATCATATCGAAAGGTGCGACACGTAACTACAGTACCAAACCAAATGAAAAAATGCACGGCTCGTTGCGAAAAATAATCTTCAACGTACAAATTTCAAGAACGTCGCTTCTCAGGTTTGTTACTTGTAACTATTTGTCATGCAGATTCAGACTTGTTTTATTGTTACAGATTCTGCACTATGATGAATGGCTTCTGACCTCAACATCTATGCGCACTGAACTCGATGAACTTGACGAGTACTACAAACGAAACACTTGCGACCCGGAGACTCATGAAGCGCTGGACTTGGATGACACTGGGGAACCCGAATCTACTACTATCCATGCTCATTTAGGTTCGAGGCAAGGCAACCACTCGTTTTCCGATATCATGCTCTCGCACGGAACTGACAGGGCCTTCACCAACTTTCGGATGAAGCTAAATGGCTTCTTAAATGGCTTTCTACCACAGCACAATATTCCATTGCCGGATGGAAAGTGTATTCACCTGCGCACAGAAGATATGGTATGCTAATTTACTTCTCATTCAATTCATTATACTAATACACTACTATTAGATAACAGTGTTTCATTTCTTGCGTGTCAACTACGAATCAATAGTCGACTGGCGCCTGCACCGAGATTTACTTCGGTGCAACCCGAAGTTCTATGGATTGCCAAGGTATGACTGCGTCATCGTGAAGACTGCCGACAAACCATTTTTCGCTCGCCTCGTGTACATGTTCAGCTGCTTGATTGGCAACACTGATTTCCCTCTCGCGCTGATTCATCCTTATGATGTTGGTATCGCCAGTAGTCGTCGAAGGCGAGATAATGACATGGGACTGTGGCGTGTGCGAGCCAAACCTCGCATATCCTCTGAAATCATCTCTGTCCAATCGATCATTCGGGGTGCTGCTCTCGCAAATGATCCGGAAACAGACGGAGATTACTTTGTAATTCACACTGTAGATACTGACATGTTTCTTCGAGTCAAGGCTCTACAAGATCAACCAAGCACTTGATCCACTACCGCTTTAATACTGGCTTGAGAGCCGCAAATTTGCTCCTGTAAGTAAGCCAGGTCCTGCCACATCCCTTTGAGAGCGACACTTCACACTGTCCCATATGCCCAGGAACTGACGAGACCATTACCTATTTGACTGCCCACAGTACAGATGCAAACGTCACATATTCGCAAGCACCGTCCGACAAAATGCAACATCCATCACGCACATACTCACATCCAAGAAAGTCACACCTCATCTTAACCACTTCGTAAATAGCACCGGCCGCTTCAAACCTACATTTGGTGAGCTGTAAACTTTGTATAAGAAAATATACTAACAAAACATATAGATATACCATACACCACTCCGTGACATAATCCCCATCATCATACTCTTCGTCGAAAGCGTTTTCTCTAGTCCGCTGTCGCATTATGGTGCGCGAGTCTTAGTGCCATGATGGAAAGCTCGGGCAACCGAACAACTACCATGTTGATGTCTAGGCGGTGTTAAGGGTATCTTGGAGCACACGCTCTTCAAAGGAACTTATTTCCCAACTTTGGTGGACCATCAACTGTGCTAACGTCTATGTCGGTTTCCAGGTCCAGCCTGCTCTGATGGGCCTTTCCATGCACGGCAATTACAAACAGCCTTTCGTCAAACATTCTTCATTTTACATATGTAAGTGACCTCATTATTTCTGAATCGTAAGACTTTATCCGTCCACGTGTTGATGTGTAGATTTGAAACGTGTACTATCACACATCGACCTGCAACATGTTGCGATGATTATTATGTACGTCCTCATCGCGTGTAAATTACTGTTCAATTTAACTTTGTTGGTCGCAGCCTCATGGCCTCAACACGATTGCATAAAATGGCACCGACTGCGAGACGGACTTGACACCCTGCGACGACCCACCTCTCAACACCCTTCAATGTCTGACTCTGGTTCGAATTCGATATCCTTCAGTTCTGATTCAGGTTCAGACTCGGCAGATGAAGGCACCCAATGTCAGCCTGTGGCTCCACCGAGCAGTGGCGCCTCTATTGAACACTACCAACAGGTACGCTTGTGCTTTTGTTCGTATCACATATTCTAAATTCTAACATACTTGTTAATACATTAGTATATCAAATATCTCCAGCTTCAACAAGGGCAGCTCCAGCAGCGGAATGCATCTCTGAATGAGAGCAATGGCATTCTGGCTGCACAACAGCTGAAACGTTCTCGTAAACGCCCTCAAACATTGTCGTCTAGGGTATCGTCAATGTCGCAAACAGCATCTGCGATACTGTCCGCATCAGAATCTGCTGTCTCAGCTCCTGCCTCATCGACGACGAATGATGTTGACAAGCTCATTTTAAGCCTGGCGAAAAAATATGCATTAACTACCGAGATGTTTCTCCCTGACAAGGTTATTTTTCAAACAGACTGTCCTGATCCTGCAGTCGACTTCTCGAATCCAAATCGTTATGCGAAGAAGTCTACAGCAAAGGATGCACTCGTTGCTGAACTCTATGCGTCCATTGACCACACGTTGCACGCTCAGATGCGAACAAATGCATTCTTCAACCAGGTGCACAGTTTTTCTCACTTCAAGGCTTTAATATTATAATAAATACTTCAATCAGTTCGGGAGCGGAATGCAGCAAGCTCGCTCATCATTTCTAAACAGCCTGCGTACTGTTGCAGGCGGCATCTTCAACATGCCCAATGAATTTTTCATTTCGAAATACGACCGAACTTCCCTCTCACAGGTCACAGACTTGATCGGATGGGAAGCAGGCAAAGGCAAGGCCTATGATATCTTCAAGGCGCCCATACTTTACCCCGATCATATCGTGAATGAGAAGAAAATCTTCAGGAACTGGATAGTCATCGCAAAGGTAAGGTCAGTTTATACTAGTAACAGCGGATCTGGCTACTCATATGTTGCTTTGAAGGCTATGAGGTTGCGGTATGCGGAAAGATGTCATTGTATTCCAAAGCACGTGGCGGACCACCTTCCTACGCTAAGATGTGGAAGCTCACAAGCTGCACTCCTGGCCTGATCGCATTTAGCGTCACATCGGTAGGGTCCCAGTCATGTCCTGTAGATCATATTCATCCTGTCCCCAGACCAGGAATTCTCGGGTGATGAGTTGGTGCCATTTCCTCGATCGCGTATCACTCCCTCTTTCAGACAGTCAAGAAATTCTTCGTTGTTAAGTGGAACCACCAGCGCATCAAATCGGTCGTCGAGCAAATCAATGGATACGTCTTTGATGGTACCGTCAAGACGCAGCCATCCAATGACACTCAGTGCACCATGGAGCAAGTCACTGAATCACTTGATCGTGTTATGGCCGCGCTGGACGCCAGTGATTCAGACTCAAACGATGATTCAGACTCATTGGAATATGTTAACTTGCCGGTACAGGCAGCTAACATCCATCCGACTGTAACTGCAGCTGCAGCTGCAACCATTTCAACCTTGCAACCTAAGACAGCCGTTGACGCTCCCCAACTCGAAGCCGCAGTCCGCAACCAAAGCCGCAGTCCCGCAACCCAAAGCCGCAGTCCCGCAGTCCGAAGCCGCAGCCCCGGGGCCTATCATTCAAGTTGATACTAGCCTACAACCTTCCATTTCAACTCCGTGTTTTTCAACTCCTATGGCACCATGTGTAGAGACTTTGGTGGATGCCCAGGGTCAGAGCGAGGACGTATCACAGCTATTGGGCTTGTTACTATTGCCAAACCTCAGGCAAAGGCATCCAGGGGCAGGAGGAAGCCCAAGAGTCAGACATTGGCCAGTGATTCTACCACTATTCGCCGCTCCTCACGTCACGCTGTAGCATGATACTTCTGTCTCCCTAGTATTGCTATTAAGATCTGATCACACAATCACTAGATTCTAGCTCTACTGTAATCCGAGTGTTTGGGTTACTATGTGTTGCTCCTTCGTACAGCTTTTGCAATCTCACTGTGCCTTCATCCCAATGCCAACCCCAACGACGACCTGTTTGTGTACCGGATACAGGCAAATTCCTCTCTCTTAGACTGGCGCCTCAAACCCATCACCAATTCTATCATGTCGTAGGAGCGCCTGTCTTCCAGCGCGAAAGGTCGAGTTCAAGCCTCGGACAGATCGTGAAGATTGCTAATAACAACTAGTCGTGAAGGGTATGGACTCGTCCGAGTTGTGGAGGTGGTGAGTCCTGGTTGCAACTCCTTTGTGGAGGAAGGACGATGAAGGCAAGACCGTTTGCAACGCGTAAGTTCTCATTTGTTGTTCCTTCTATATTCGTACCTATCTCTTATATACATACAGATGCGGCCTCTACTATAAGCTTCACGGCTCTGCTCGTCCCATTAGTATGAAATCCGATATTATTTGGAAGCGCTCTCGACACGACGCTCGTGCGCAGCACTCCTCCCTCACCAAGCCCCCAAGCGCATCTAACATGCCTGGCACTCCTTCCGTTATGGAGGAGACAGTTTCAGAACGGGTTCTGGTGCGACAAGCGCAGGTACTTCTTCGTCTTCGCGGCGCAGCAGCATGGACTCGTCTGTCCACACAGTCGATGCGGGCACTGTTGTGCCACACCCGCCACTATACTACCCACCAACCCACCATGAGACCCGCACCCGCCATGGGGGTGTGGGTATACCTGCGGGTGTGGGTGCGGGTGCGGGTGATGCTTGCGACACCCACGGGTACACCTGTGTCATTCCCTAGTCGTTGGTGGTCGTTGGCTCTCTCGATCTTGTTCTCTCGCTAGATGGGGTTCATGCCGAGATTTTCACGGTGTTAGTAGTTGGCTCTCTCAATCTTGTTCTCTCACTAGAGGTCTCTGGTCCGTCATCTTGAGCTCGTCAATCACTTGTTGGTCATGTCTGAGTTCGTTCTTGCAGCCAGCAAGAATGATGGGAATGCCAGCACAGAAATGCATCACCTCAAAAATCTGCACATTGTCCAGAGTCGGTGAGTCGACAGCAAAGCAGATAAGAACAATATGTCTTGAACTAACTGATAAGATCTGAAGCGGTCATAGTCTTCTTGCCCTGCTGTATCCCATAATAGCACATGACAAGCTCGATGTGCTTTCCGTCAAGCACCATCTGAATCACTGACGATAGTGAGCTTCCTCCTTATTTCAGCCATTATTCAAACATAGAAAGTAGGATTGCATGGATATTGCATTACAATGAGTTTGCGGCCATTCAGATGCCTATAGTAATACATGTTTGTCGCCAATTTAGCCCTTTTGCTATGATTATTTCCTAACATGGTAATTTATTTTATGTCATTGAGTTTATCATTGATAGTGCTTAGGTTGACGATTCAAACTCACTTTTGTTCCTCAATGTCGACGTCCATGTTCCCATCTGGTCCTGGTGCCTTCAGCCTCCCCTTCATCACTCCAACATAACCTTTGCTGCTCTCATTTTGCTCCAGCAACTCAAGGTACGCTTGATTTTAAATTGCCCGTTTCCCTTCTGAATCCATTTCATCTTTTTTAGACTGCATGTCCAGAATTCTGGTGCCTTCAACCTCCCCGTCATCACTCTGTGACTTTTGCTGCTCTCATTTTGCTCCAGCGACTCAAGGTGCGCTCATCACTCTGTTACTTCTGCTGCTCTCATTTTGCTCCAGCGACTCAAGGCGCGCTCATCCGTCTGTTACTTTGCTGCTCTTGTTTTGCTCCAGCGACTCAAGGTGTGCTCATCACTCTATTACTTTTGCTGCTCTCGTTTTGCTCCAGCGACTCAAAGCGCGCTCATCACTCTGTTACCTTTGCTGCTCTCGTTTTGCTCCGGTGACTCAAGGTGTGCTTTGTTATATGTTGTCCGTTTCCCTCCCATCTCATCTCTTTGCCTGTCCAGAGTCGGTTGCGCCCCCCATCACACCAAGCATCATCACTTAGACCCTGTTACTCTTGCTGCTCTCGTTTTGCTCCAGCGACTCAAGGCGCGCTCGTCACTCTGTTACTCTTGCTGCTCTTGTTTTGCTCTAGCAACTCAAGGCGTGCTCGTCACTCTGTTACTCTTGCTGCTCTCGTTTTGCTCCAGCAACTCAAGGTGCGCTTTATTTGTGTTACCTATCTCTTTTCGATCTCATTTTTTTGCGTGTCCAGAGCGCACTTATTCTATGTCGGTTGTTGGTCATGAGCAGGCTTTATGGTCCGGGCAAGTACGGAGGCGAGGGGAGTCATTTCTGTTTTCACCATGCATATCATAATGTAGATTAATATTTGTCTCACAATAACAATTGATATGCGTTGAACATTCATCACCACCTTGCTGGAATGATTATCACGACATTAAGACCTCAGTTGACAACCTTACAATGTGCATTCAGACCACAGGGCCGCCATTAAAATGCCCACTAATACTCGGTGGGTACCATTAAAATACCCATTGATATTAGGTTAATACTTATTAAAATACCCGTTATATCATCATGTTCACGTGCATTAAAATGGCGCGAGGTTCATTAAAATGCTGACTGTTTGATCATAATCTATGGCAATGGGTCCGCGTCGTTAGACCATTTTAATCGATTAAAATGCCGTAAAAAAAGTTCCGACAGACAACTCAAATTAGAAGACATGAACAACATGCGGAGGGATCGCATACCGCAAGAATCCCAGCGTTGTAACTTGTCATGGTCCAGGAACCTGCGCCAATACTTGACTACATTGGCAGCTACATGATTGGCGGTGGTGGCTGCTGACATAAAGTGATTTTTCATACACGTGACTAGGCGCGTCGCGATCGAGTTCGTTTATTTCGTGGCAGTGCTGATTTAACTGGTATAACAGAGTATAAATACAGCGTGCCTACTACAAGATACGTCTCCCATTTCCCGTCCTCGATTTACGTGCATTACTTTCTTCACTACTCATTCTCAACTTCAACTCGCCTTACAATATGATTTCCGCTATCTTCGACGGTGCCGCCCATGTCACCGTCGCTGGGTGCCTCGGAGCATTCTTTTTCAAACACACTGTGGTGGATCGGACGTCCAAGGCCATCAAAGAAGCAGAGAACGTCACCGCTGGCCTGGTCATATCCGAATTCTGTATTTCTGTCGCGGTACTAGTTCTAGCTTCCAACGAGACCGCCCGGATACTCCTCAGTAAAGATGGTCAACCCCCTCCGAAGCACAATTTAGCCAAGCTCAACGCGCCTCTCATTTGCAACAAAGTGTCCGATTTCTCTACTGCAGCAGACTCAATTTCAATCGCAACCGAACCATGTAGCACTCCGCCGTCCGTATCAATCGCAACCGACTCTTGCAGCACTCAGCCAGACGTAATAATTTCACCGAATCTAATCGCAAACGACTCTTGCAGCACTCAGCCATCTAATACGTGTTCTACTTTATGCACGCCAATACTGCCGACTTCGCCGGTTCCGAACACGAAGCGCCTCTCAATGGATTCTGACACGACTCTCGTCGATCATCATGACGACTTCATGAAGGACTTCTCTGGCGTGGACCTTCAGGAAAGGAATATCCTCCAGGTATAAAGTCACACAGTCTCCCCATTTTTATCGCTCAATGTTTGAATCTTTGTAGGACGACAGCGACTGTTCCAGTGGCGACCTATTGCAAGGCACGAAACCACTCGCGATCGATGACTGGAGTGGACCCTCTCAGCGGACGCAAGTCCAGCCAATCACCCTGGAGGACGGACGCCTGACGACCACCGACGCTTCGCTTCTCGTGGACGCTTCGACTCATACGATCGCGACGCCCTCTCTTGGCAGCATCCCAACTCAGATCGTCTCGCCTCAGCTGAAACCCCCGGATACGAAACGGCATCATAATTTCCGCCCGGGAAGACACAAGGTATGGACATGTTCGTTGCGAAGCCAAGTGCTGCACTCACCGTCGTTTGTTAGCGCGAATCTAGATCTGCTCGCTTGGCCGCTGCCCGTGGCAGCATCGAATGCACTCGCTCCAA